AGCCCTGAGCTAACATCCAATGCCAATCCTCCTCTTTTTGCTGAGGAAGACTGGCCCTGGGCTAACATCCATGCCCATCTTCCTCTACTTTATATTGGACGCCGCCACAGCATGGCTTAACAAGCGGTGCGTCGGTGCGCACCCGGGATCCGAACCGGCGAACCCCGGGGCCGCCGCAGCGGAACATGCGCACCTAACCGCCTGCGCCACCGGGCTGGGCCCCTCTTCCACATTTTTTAAAGGTTATTCAGTATCCCATTGTCTGGAAATATCATAATTATTTAATCAAACCTCTGTATGACATTTAGGTTGTTTCCAATGTTTTCCCATTACAAACAATATGCAATAAACATCTACATAACTATAATCTTTAAATGCATGTTAGTATTTCTGGAGGATGGATTTCTAGGAATAAAATCCTGGATCATATGAATTTTTAATTTGATAAATATTGCCAAATTCTCCTCCAAAATGCCTTCTCACCAATAATATAGAAGAACACCTATCCCTCTAATGTGCCTAGTAAAACTCAAGGTGTTCTGAAATCTTTATACTAGATTTTTAGGACTTAGTATTAAAAAATTAAATATCAATTTAATAAGTTTTAAAACATATAATCAATACAAAACATATAATCAATATGTTGAAATCATATTTTGGACATATTGAGACAAATAAAATAATTAAAATTAATTGTACCTGTTTCTTTTTACTTTTTAAATATGGCTCCCAGATAATTTTAAATTACATATGTGGTTTGCATTATATTTCTATTGGACAGCATTGCTCTGTACCCATGCTACAATGCAATCACTCCTTTAAATACTTACTAACCTGACAGGTGAAAAATTGTATTTCATATTTTTTGATCATTTATATTTCTTCTTACAGAAAATACCTATTCATACCCTCCTATATTTTCATTGGACTTTGGTTTTTTTAATTGATTTATAATTCTTTACTACAGTATTATGGATATTAACCCTTTATCCATGTGATCCAAATATGTTCTCCCCAGTCAGAGATTTGTATCTTAAATTTGCATATGCTGCCTTTACTGTACATTCTAGCTGATAAAGAGAGGTTTTCCCAGAGGAAATGATTTTTGCATTGAATTCTGAAGTAGCAGTTGGAGTTCGATAGGTAAAGAGGTAGAAGGGCAAGGTTAAAGAGCATTTAGCAAAGAGAAAAACATGTAATAGCATGGATCAAGAAAAATGGCATCTATACGAAACAAAGGCAGGTCCTTCTGTGAGGTAAGGCTACACAGTGGAGTGGAGCAGGAAATGAGTCAGAGACATATAAAAGGAGTCAGATCATACAGACTCTGGAGCACCAAGCTAAAGAGTATAAATTATCTTGAAAAATACACCAACCTACTGAAGAATTTTTAGCAGGTAAGTCATAGGATCAAGAAATAGTAAGTTCAGGATCTTTAGACAGCTTCTTCAGTGTCAGGGAGGCAGAAAGCCATTGTCGTAATTCAAGTTGCAAGTGATCGTGGTCTGAATTTGGATAGCGACAGAGGTAAATGTTTTAAAAAACAGCTTTCTATTTCACCAAAGAAAAACTTCTTAAAATGTAAAAAGTGGGCTCTCCATTACTCACTCTATAACTCTTAGATCTGTGCTGTACAACATGGTATGTGGCTATAGAACACTTGAAATATGGCTAATCTGAATTGAGATTTGCTGTAAGTGTAAAACACACATTGGTTTTTGAAGACTAGTATGAAATGTAAAATATCTCATTAATAATAATAGTATAGTTATATTGAATTAAAAACATTTTATCACAATTTCACCGATTTCTTTACCTTTTTAATGCAGCTATTAAAATTACACACGTGACGCATTATATTTCTATCAGACAGTGCTGCCTTAAACCATGCTTCTGTTCTTTCTTTATGCAATATTGCTAAAGCTAATCCAGAATATTCAGTTATGCAAGTTACAAGATAAAAAGCTACCAATATAGAGTTCTAAGTTTTAAATCCCTTTTTCTTTTTACTAGTTTATGAGTTCCCTAATAGAAGATAACTAAATCACTAGAGCTCCACATTAAGAGCTCCACAGTTAAACGTTCTATTGATTAAAAGGTTTTTTTTCACTTATTTTATTTTAGCTATTTGGTTAGTCTTTCTTTCTCTTTCATTTCATAACTTTACATGTGTATGAGCTCAAAGGAGTTCATAAAATGGTATTTTTAAGAAGCAAGATAAACATTAAACAAAAAACCTGTATAACTTATCCAGAATAAGAGATGTCCTGTAACTCAAAACTGATCATTTTAAATTGTTTCTAAGATACTGCTTATGAAACTATAACAGTACAACTAAGCAGGTACAGTCTCTTCAAGAACTGATTAGTCTAAATCTTTACCTCTGGAATGTATGATTACCAGCATTTACTTCCTCAATATGTCTCACAAACATCTGTTTATGTGCCAATGCCATGTCTCACAGAGCCAACTTCTTGCCAAAGCTTCTCACTCAGTATTATATCTGAATTCTTTTAGCCCAAACAAAAGAACTAAAAGACAGATCTGTGATAACTGCTTTGACAGTTATCGTGATAATGCACACAAACAACATTATTATCCAGAAAAAAACTTTTATATGATGTATTGACTTCTAAGGTAGTGGTTCTTACAGTATGATCCCTGGACCAGCAGCATCATTATCACCTGGCAACTTGTTAGGAATTCTAGACCTACTACATCAGAAACTTCAAAGTTAACCCCTTTGTGAGTCTGGATTTTAATAAAACCTGTTGGTGATTCTGATGCATGCTACAGTTTTAGAACTACTACTCTAAGGCAAGGTTTCTCAACCTTGGCACTACCGATAGTTTGCACTGCATAATTCTTTGTTGTGGTGGCGGGAATCGTCCTACGTATTGTAGGACATTTAGCAGCATCCCTGGCCTCTCTACTAGATATCAGTCACAACCCTTCCCCCCAGCAGTTGT